GCCCTCTAGTGTATCTACCACTCCCCCTAGCTTAGTGTCATCTGAGAACTTGCTGAGGGTGCAATCCATTCCCTCATCCTGGTAATTAATAAAGATGTTCAATAAAACCGGTCCTAGAACAGATCTTTGGGGCACTCTGCTAGAAACCGACCACCAACCTGACATTGAGTCGTTGATCACTACCTGTTGGGCCCCACAGTCTAGCCAGCTTTCTATCCATCTTACCATCCATTTATCCAATCCATATTCCCTTAACTTGCTGGCGAGAATATTGTAGGAGACCATATCAAAATCTTTCCTAAAGTCAAGGTGTATCACATCCACTGATTTTCCCATATCCACAGAGCCAGTTACCTCATCATAGAAGCTAATCAGATTGGTCAGGTATGACTTGCCCTTCATGAATCCATGTTGACTATTCCTGAACACTTTCCCCTCTTCCAAGTGCTTCAAAATGGATTCTTTGAGGATCCCCTCCATGATTTTTCTGGGGACTGAGGTAATATGACGTACGTCTCTGGTTTACTGGCATTTGGGTGTCAGCATAGAATCTACCATGACTAATCATAGGGCTGGAAGAGACCTCAGGAGGTCATCAAGTCCAGTCCCCGGCCCAAAGCAGGACCAACTCCAACTAAATCAACCCAGCCGAGACTTAAAAACCTCTACGGTTGGAGATTCTACCACCTCCCTAGGGAACTCATTCCAGTACTTCACCACCCTCCTAGTGAAATAGTTTTTCCTAATATCCAACCTAGACCTCCACCCCGTATTTTAAGAAGGCTGCATAAGCCTAAAATAAATACAAGTAATGCAACCTCCTCCCCCTTTTTACCTTTTCCACAGGCGCCCAGACCAAAAGCTGCCTAAGCATTCACACTAGAGCTGGTTGGAAAATAGAAACGCTTTGTGTAGAAATTTTATCCCTGTTTTTTGTTGGAAATTTTCAAAATTTGACCTTTTACCCCCAGCTGTGATATGGGATTTGAATGTCCAAATCTTCTGGACAACTTTCAAAATACAGGCCTTGGAGACTACAGGACACCAGGATATTACACGTTTTTACATCCGAAAGTAGAGCTATTTCTTTGTCATTCTAGGATTGTTTTAGATATATATCACTAACTTCTAATTCCGTCTTCCCTTTCAATACCTTTCAAGAAGTGAGGAGAATTATATGGATTTTATTTTTAATTATCTTAAAAGAAATCATTCTTGTATTCGATGTTTTGGCCTGCAGCTAATTTTTTATATCAGAGAGATTAACCCCTGAAATTGAATTTATAATGGTGCTGACATAGTTTTATCTTGAACTGTGAAAAAGGTGACACTATCATATCAATAATATCTTTGGCATCTATTTCTCCCTTTTATAAATGTGCTAAACCAGCACAGAAGCAAAGACAAATAATAGTATAAGCTTTGGAGATTTAGCACTAAGCAGGATGCCTCTGGTTTGTAACACAGGTTGATGTGAGCACCAGACCATGAATGTGTTCAGGTGAAAAATGTCAGTTTGAGGTGTCTATTGACTAACAAATTTTCTGAATAAATTATAGTTTCAGAAAAACCTCGCAATCAATATCTTTTTGCTGATCCACAGCGAATATGGCCAAGGTTGCTAATAGAATGTAATGCTTCTTAGCAGTGGTGAAATAATCTAGTGGACATTCTTTGGGCTACTATGTAAAGCATGGAGGAATATTGCTTAAATAAAGGTGCCCCAAAGTGTTCTTTTAAAAATATTTCCTGTATTTTACTCAGTGCTGACCATTAGATACCATGTTTTCCAGCTCCATAACAGTGTATATTTAACATTAACTAATTTCAGTTCCCAGTTCTGTGACGTAGTTAGCCACCCCCCCCCCCCACACACACATTTATATGGGTATTGCCATTTGCATAACTACCCAAAACTAACAGGAAAATGTCAGAGGCAACTGTCAGGACCAAGAAATATATGTAAAAAAAACCCCAAACAAACGAAAGCCAAGAAAACGCCACAAACAAAACCTTCTCAAATCTCAGAAAAGGATTGAATTTGAGTTAGTTCAGTGCTTCAGCTCAGTTCTTATTTTATCCAAACTGCTTTTACCTGGCCCTCCCTTGTGAAGGAAAAAACAGTTCTACCAGGAAACCAATTGCAGATTCATGATTCACAGGTGGCATTGCTATAAAGGGTAATATTAAAATACCACAGGGATTTTTTTGTTGTTAAGGGGATGGAATAGGTTTTAATACCAGGCTAACTATGTACAGCTGTAGCTGCTTTGCTAACGTCCCTAATTAGGTAGGACAGTCTCTAGGCTTTTGAATAAAATATTTATCATTTTCACCGCCCATCCTTTCATTAAGCATTCCTGGCCCAAAGTAGTTCAGTATAGTTAAAAGCCATATCCCTATTTTTAACTTGGCACTTCTGGAAGAGGCCCCAAAAGCTGCACAGACACGAGGAAAAATGTGAACCAAAAGAAATTACACCAGTCTGGCTATGAAAAAAATCCCCCCTGTTGTAATGAATTTCATTTTTAGCACATAAGCCTCAAGTACCACCTATAAAACTATTTTCAAGTATTTATATATTTGTGGATACGCTAGTTGCTTATATGCATGGATGGACAGTGCAGGCTCCTCACCTCACCTACAGCCCCTCTCCCTCTGCTAAGGCCCTGCCTCCCAACATGGGGAGGGGAGGAGGTGGGACAGCACGCCAAGTGTGTGTCCCCCCCTTCTCCTCCGCACAGCGAGGGGAAGAGATGGGAGGGGCAAGTGTGCTCACGTGCCCCAGCCCGCCTGGTGCCCGGAGCACCGGTGAGGGAGGAGGCCATGTGGCTCCCCACCTGCCCGGCCCCCCAGAGCATGGGGAAGGGAGGAGGCAGTATGGCCCCCAGCATCCTCTGCCCCTGGAACACGGGGAGTGCAGACACTCGGGAGGCAGCAACACTCCACCCACAAGTACGCCTACAGCAGGTGCTCTAAGGGCGGAGTGTGGGCGGAGCCATGCCTGGCGGTTTGGGGAGGCAAAGCCTTCCTCCGTGTAGGCTACCCATGCTTATATGCAACTGACCAGTTTGCATGTGCTCATGTGTCGAAAATAAAGACAGCCATACTAGGTCAGACCAAAGGTCCTTCTAGCCTTCTGACAACGGGCAATGCCAGGTGCCCTAGAGGGAGTGAACAGAACAGGGAATTGTCAAGTGATCCCTCCCTTGTCACCCATTTCCAGACTCTGGCAAACAGAGGCTAGGACACCATTCCCACCCATCCTGCCTAAAAGCCATTGATGGATCTAACCTCCATACATGTATCTAGTTCTTTTTTGAACCCTGTTATAGACGTGGCCATCACGACTTAGACATGTCCTCGGATAAAGCTGAATGGCAGATTTGGTTGGAAATTAGATTTTTTTTCCCGTCATGAGAAATACTGAATTTTCATTGAAAAAGTGAAGAAGTTGGATATTGGTTTCTCAAGGAAGAGTTGAACTTTTTACAATTTTTGTTCATTGAAAACACCATTTCCCACAGAGAAACAATCTAAATGTGCAAATGTCACTCAGCCCTCCTGACTGGTCTCTTGGGGGCAGTGTAATAGACAGGAGACCTGGGTTCGAGTCTCCGCTTTGCTACCCACGGTCTATGTGACCTCTGAACATTGAAGTGATTTCCCCATTCCTCTCTTTCCCCTCCTACCCCCTCTGCCTTGTCTATTTAGATGGTAAGTTCTGCTGGGCAAAGACTTTAGCTATGTGTCTGTGCAAAACCTAGCACAAAGAGCCCTCCCCCTCTTCTACTATCCTACAAATTCAATTAATAATAATAGCCACCAACTACTCTGTTGAAAGCTTTGTTGAATGCAAAATGAAAATCAACCAACAAGAAAGCAAATGGCTCCATCTAATATAGATAGAAAAATGATTCACAACACTTGGTTTTCCATATTTTGTTTTTTTTTTGGGGGGGGGGGGGGGGAAGGATGTTAAGTATCCTGCTGCACCTTTGAAAAAAATCTAGCAGCTTGGCCTGACTTTTCTCTAGGGGAGGAAACTTACAACAAACTGACAAACTCTCTTGTAAGCCTCATGAACCGCCTCATCAGCTAGTGTAAACTCAGTCTGGCTCCATCAAGGTTAATCAGGACTTGGGAGGGGTGAAGCCATCTGTAGAGTAGAGTTGCATGCAGGACTCACATATGGATTTCTTAATTCAGGATCATGTCCAGAAACAGCGCAAATCTGAATTCTAAAGAAAGGCTTTGGGCCAGTTAATTGGCTTTGATGCAACCGGGCCTATCCGCAGTAGCTGCGAATCTGGCCCTATGAATGATCATGCTTCTGCTCTGTCTCTCTCAAATCAAGTTCCCATTAAGCGGAATGGAAATATCTCCCTTTTTGATAATGAGCAGCAACCTAAGTATGTGCCGAATTTTGGGGTGCTGGGTTGCTTGCAAAGAACTAGCTTCTTTCTGATACTGATGGGTAACAAGTATTTTACCAGCAGCAATTCTGTCGGGGACATCAATATGGAATGAGCCTTTACCTGGGTTTGTATTAATCTATATAAAATTTTTTAGGATAAAGATAATAATGTTACACAGAAACAGGCACTCAGAAGGAATACCAAGTGAAAAGAAAATAGCACATCTCTATTGAGGCCAACAAAAATCTGCCCGGGGTTAAAATCATACATCTGATCATCTTCATGGAGTTCCATCTTTCAGAATGAAACTTCCTGAGCACTGATGCTCTTATCTTATTATTAATATTATTCTAATGTATTGTTTGTAGTACCATAGCACCAAAGAGCCCAAGTCATGGGCCAAGATCACGTCTTAACCTTTCGTCTTCTTCTTCCCCTAGCCATGGGAAGATGTTTGGCTCACACATTGGAGATCCTTGCAGGCAGATTTTGATTGGGTTTTCTAAAGATGAGGGGTAAGGTGAAAGCAAGAGCATAGCACAAGGGGGGAAAAAAGGAGATTTGAGTTCAGCGCAAACATACTTGAGGTCAGCAGAGTGGGCAGCCATGAGGTTTCTGAGGCTCTTGTCAGCAAGAGGACAACCAGAAAGGCTGAAAGAGAAGAGATGGAATATCTGGATAAGCCCAAAATAAATTAGGAAAAAGAGGGGAAGGGCGAAAGAAGGGGAGAAGGAAACAGAACCAAACCATCCACACGATTAAAAAAAAAATTATGTAGAGCCAGAACCTGAAACAGAAGGTCAACAAACCTGCGGTGAGAGGCATAGTTTCCCGTGATGTGTCCGCTGCCATCACAGCCTGGGGTAGGGCAACTGAACAAAAATAATAAAAAGTGTAAGTGCCAAAAAGAAATGAATTCATTGAAAGATTCATGCATGGGTAAAAACAGGGAAGAAGGCTTCTTTGGTTGAAAAAATTAAAAAAAAAAAAGATAGGTACGTGGGCTAGGGCTTTTTGGGTAGGTGAAATACTGGTGTGTGTTCTGGAATTTGTTAGCACAAGTTGGTGTTGGCCTTGGTATTGACTTATTGTGTTAGCAGCCAGTTAGAAATCTGTACAGATAAGCCAAATGCTTCCTTTTTGGCCTGTTCTCCCTGTGTTCCCAAAAGGCCACAGGCCCCTTTCCAGGAATTTATGGCGAAATATGAAGACCGAGGAAAAAGATTGTTTGTTTGGGGAGCTTTGTTTGCTGTTTTTAAAAGAAGGAACTAAAATGGAAAAGCAGCTTTACAGATCCACTATGGCCAGTTCTCATGGTTTTTATCACAGTCTTGTAACATTTGGCGAGGACTCCCAGCTGCTGAAATCAGGTAATTATCTGCGAAACTCAGTGTTCACAGAATTATAAAAGTGTAGGACTGCAGGGGACCTCAATAGGTCATCTACTCCAGTCTCCTGCACTCAAGGCAGGACTAAATTAAATAACTAGACTATGGCGGACTGGTGATGGTTTAGCTATTGCTGTTTGCTTGCTTCCTTTCAGTTTTTAGCCCTCAAGCAGGGTCCCCTGTAAGCTGAGCACTTGGGCAAGCCCCCAGAAGAGATTCAAATGCCACTCAGCTGATTAGCAGAGCGCCCTCGGCCACTAGCTTGTGTTTCTACTGGTGGTGCATACAGGCCCACTGAGAGAGGAGGGCGAAGGGGGGAGTTGCCCCAGGGCCTGGAGATTCAAAGGAGTCCAGGGTGATTGCCAGAGTCCCAAGACCTTTAAACTGCCACCAGAACACGGCACTACATTCTCCAGGCAGCACTGAAGGCTGAGGGACGTGCATGCCAAACTTGAGGTGGCATGGAGGGCTGGCAACCTCAACCTCATCCCTTCCCCCCAAAGCCCCACCCCTTCCAGGAGCGCAGAGCTGGCTCTTCCCCCCACATCTTGTCCAGGGGCCTGTGAAGGCTGTTGGCTTCTCTGGGTGCCCATCTGCATATGCCTCAGTGCACATATCAAAATTTATTCCACACCGGGATGGGAAAAAAATAGAGGAAAAATTGCACTCAAGGCTGCAGCAAAGAAAAGCTTGAAAGCATGGATGTTCCTAAATGTTCCATCACCTGCAGGCAAATTAAAAGAGCCCAGTTTAAAATAAAATCTCACGCTATCCGGGGCTTTACTCATAGTCCTTGAGCGCTTGGAGCCGGCCATACTGCCAACAGATGGGTTATCCTGGCTTTATTTGATCTCTCTCTACCTCCCCACTGCTTCCCAATGAATCTTATAGCCAATGGAGTAGGTGCAGTGGCTTTGTGATAGTCAGGAAATAAAATCCGTAATGCTGTGTGTGACTCAACAGCTCCATTTGCATATGGTGGGGCTTACTCTCCCGGGTAGCCAAACCGTCTTTAAATATGGATTCCTGGCTTCAGGACTGTTCCTGGGAACTAGTGCTAATGAAATACTGTGGGTTGGGGTTCTGGCTCCCACGTCATGAGTATCCAAAGTAGGGTGAGGGTTGTAAGGATCCATCTTCCTCTATCCCTTGTGCTCCATAAGGACCAAGACGTGCCACCAGTAGTAGTCAACATGCCAAACAGGTTAGGACATGGCCGTGACCCCATCCCCCTTCAGCGGTGGCCAGTGGAATGAGGCCATGGGATGAGGTCAAAGCAGCAACTTGGAAAAGGTTGAGTAATCTCGGCCTGTCGTGTGGTTGGATGGAGTCTGTAAGGAAGGAGAAGCTGGGTCCAGGGGAATGACAGGGGAAGGTCTTTTGAAGCCTTTGGGTATTCTGGCTGGGGGTTTTACAGCCGGTCCCCGACTTACGAATGAGTTACGTTCCGAGAACTTGGTTGTAATTCGATGTGTTCGTAAGTCGGATTACATTCACTGACATACGGCTGAGCTGTTCGAAAGTGCGGATTTTGTTCGTAACTTGGGTTCCGGCTGTATAGGAGGTTGGTCGTAAATACGAATGGTCGTAAATTGATGCGTTCGTAACTTGGGGACCGGCTGTATTCTGTTGTCCGACTATTGTGGTCAACACTAAAAAGCGCCCTGAGGAAAGGGACTTCTACAGACCTTGGGCATGGAGATAGCTTCCCTTCCCTGGCTGCTGGAAGAGGCCACTGGAGCACAAGCTAACCTCCAAAGAGAGGCACAAGGTCTGCTCCTCCATACATTCCCACTGCAGCGCCCCAGGCGTGATGTCTGCCTCTGCGGTGCAGTAATACGGGGTCCCTCCTGGCCCTTCCATCACACACGTTGCCCATTCTCGGGACAGCCCTCTACAAAGAGGCAAGCCCAGTGGCTTCATGGTAGAGTTAGACTCTGTTATTCATGATGCCCAAGTTGGAGGCTGATTCTAACCCGAGCTGCCCAAACTGAAGGGATTGGGGGAGTCCTGCAAAGACAGTACCCCCAACCCATACGGGGAGGTAGTGTCTTGTATCAGCCTGGAGCAACCATGGTAGGTGCACAGAGCAATCACGACAGGAGCTGGTCCAAGGCAGTATAAAACATGGCACCTTTGAGGGTGGTGGAGAGTAGAAATCCCAAGAATGGGTCGGGGGAGCAAGGAGAGGGCTGTATGCTGAAAACATAAAGAAGCAACCCACATCAACACAGTGCACAGGAACTGGAGACATTCTTGGTCCTAGGGCAGGACAACTACCTCATAGTTTGTCCATGATGATGATCCTGGGACTCCCGTTTCTGATGCCCCACAAAACAACTTGTTTTATACCCTCTGTTGTTGGTGCCTCCACTCCCTCTGCATTATGGGACAAGGGGCACATGCATAGGTTACTCACACCAAGAGACAGAAAGGAAAAAAAATATATCAACCCTAAGTCCCTCTCTCAATAACAGAAAATATAATCACTGGAACTATCCTTAACTTGCAGATGCTCAAACAACAATATATATTGCCATGTGGCATTAGAGTCTTGGATGGGTTGAATGGCCACAGACAAGATGGAAGTGGACAACCCTTCCCCAAACACTTGCCACCAGAATCCTGAGAAGGCCCAGGGACCATGTGGACATGAAAACTCAAATCTGCAGCAAGTGAGTTTGCTCCTGAACAGGCTATGCCTAGGGGCACCACGATTCAAGATGACATCAGAAGGATCAAAAAGGGTGGGTGTGCCTGGTGTGGAAAGGAAGCTTAGAGATGCTTCGAATGCCAGGAAGATTCCTTTCCAGAGCTGTTCATCACCATGAAACAGTCTCCCTCTGAATATCTGGCTTACCCCAGAAACTGAGACTCATACCATTTCCAGAAAAAAACCACAAACATGTCAAGCATTGCATATGGGTGCTAGTATGGGTCTTGCTCATGTAGGCAGCATTCGATCTTGTCTTCCTCTGTTCACCTGGGACTTCACTTACTCCCTGTTTCCTCCCAGCATAACATACTCCCCTTCAAACCTCCCGCTTGCATAGCTAAATGATGAGCAAGACTGAGAGAAGTCAGTGAAATGAAGCCCTGCTGAGCCCTTCCTACCTTGTATGTACAAAGGTCAGAGTTACTTTGGAAATAAACCCAGGAGTAATAGCTCCATTGAAAAGTTGACTTGAGTTTGGGGATCAGCCTGCCACAGGAGGGCAATCATTTTTGACCAGCAGCCACTTCAGAAATTTTTGAAATTTTCAAAAGAGGCGGGGCCTTAGGCAGAAGGGGCGGGGTCAGGTCATTTCCATGCTTCCCCACCCACAGATCCTGATTGGCCTGGGGACGGGGGAGCTGCGAAGTCTTTGCCACCCCCAAGGAGAACTACCAGCTGTGATTGGCCTGTGAGAGCATGGAGTCTCCTCCCACTGTGCCCTCATCCTGCAAGGAGTGTGCGGTGCTTAGCAGTGCCACGCCCTTCGCAGGGCAGGATGAGACTTTGCACACTCCCCCTTTACCTCCAGGCCAATCAGGGCTGGGGGGCGAGGGGAGCGCACAAAGTCTCCTCTGCCCTGCCAGGAGCTCGCCGTGTATTCCTTGCAAGGCGGGGGCAGGGCAGGAGGAGACTTCACACGCTTCCCACCGCCCCCAGGCCCTCATTGGGGGCAGGTGCACAGCAGGGCCTCCGCGGGCCAGCTCAACTCACTTGACGGGCTGTATCCGGCTCACGGAGACCCTTTTGCCCTCCCCTGACCTAAACAGTTTATCCCAGCGTTTCTTTAGATCAGAGCTGGGCTCTACTTGCAAATCTTGGGTCAGGATCTGACTTCTATGAGTGATCCAGGGTTGTTGATCTTATCGCCAGGGGAGGGATCCTCCCCCAAGTTTCTATGGGCGTTCAGGTCTGGGGTTTGGTCCAGGGCCCTCTCAGAGGTAGCATACAGCACAAGGATGTATAGCTGTGCTGTTTTAATAATATTCATTGCGGGGTCTTTATTGCTTTCTTCCAAGGGATTATACTAACTGCTCTATGTTACCATAAAATGTTATTCCAGTGGCTGAGATGGCTGTAAGCCTGCCTGCCTACCTGCCTCCCCCGCTATGAACAGGATGATACAGGCTCCTCAGTGCCACTTGTAAGTTACTGGGCTCCCTTGGCCACCATTGACTTCAGGGAATAGTTCAGGATCTCCTAGCTAAGGAGGGAGGGAAGTGGGCACACGTGTTAATTTTAAGGGGAAATATATACAGGAAATGCTCTCTGAAATTATGCTTTTTTACAGGCACTGTTCTGAATCCTAGGACGACAGCGCTTTTGAGGAGGTTCCTTTAATCATCACACAGTTCTAGGAAGCCCATCTGGGATAACACTTCATCTTGCTAATCAGAGGGTGAGATTTCTCTTGAAGATTTCGGTTTGAAGTGTTTGGATTAAATAAGACCATCGCAGTTGGAACCAATGCAGAACGGTTTAGTTGCGTGGGGTTTTTTGGTTAATGGATTCCCACCTCACCACCCTTCCTGGCTGTCCGGAGCACTTTATACATGTCAATTTGGCTCCCCTATCAAAAAGGCAGGACTTACGTGAGGAGCTCCTTCTTGATGTCCTTGGGAAGGAATTTAAGCTTGAAGTTGGTTAAGGTAACCTCCCCTGGGTATTTCCGTTCTTCAAAGTTCTCCTCTGATGCTTCCTGCTCGTCTGCTTCAGAGGAAGCAAAAGAATGGGCTGCGGGCTCTGACTGTAAGAAACCAGCATGAATAATGTGAACATAGCAGCGCTGAGGGATCAAGAGAGTCCATCTAGTCATTTTTCAGCCTTTCTATGGCCCCCATCGTGAGAGTACCTCACAATCCTTAGTACATTTATCCTTCCAACCACTCTGGGAGCGAGGGCCATGCTATTATCCCTCTTTTACAAATGGGAAACTGAGGCACAGAGCAGTTAAGCAGTGACTCTAAGGTCACATAGGAAGCCTGTGGCGGAGCAGGGAATTGACCCGACATGGCCCAAGGTGCATGCTAGAACCCTACCCCGGATTATCTTTCCTCTCAGGAATTGTGAACATCGAAGGCCCGGTTTGGGTCTTTCTTCCAGGGGTTGTTTGCCAGTGTAATTTCACTGGAGTCACTGTTGATTTGCCCTGATGTGACTGTCAGGAGAAGGAGGCCGCTGAGTTTACAGTGTAACAAAAAGTAATTGATGATTTCTCCCCTCCGCTTGGATCATCAATGACCGAGGCACCTCTCCGTCAGGAGCGGGGAACCTTACTGTGCCTGATCTTGCCACCACGTGCACATGGTGAGTCAGCGCGCCAGCCTCTCCGCCCTACTCAGGCAACATAAAGGAGGAGGAGACCTGCCCTAATGTGATGTCAAGCAATTCCCAGGTGATGCAAAGCAGATGTAGCCAGCTGTATGCCAACCACTGAGGAGGGGCATTCCGGGGCAGGCTGGGGTAAGTGGGGGCATGGTCAAAGCACATTGTACTGTGGTGATCCCTGGCTGGGGGAGCAGTCCCTAAGGGATTACTCCAGGTTGCATAGTTTAGAGCTGCTGCTAGATTGCTCTAAATGATGCTGGGCGGCTGATTCAGCCCCTGAACCAGGGTGACAGAAAGGTGGTATAAAGCTGTTTCCCCTTTCACCCTGCGTCCTGTGCTAGGTGCAAGCTGATTCGACCCAAGGATCTGGACCAGAGGGCTTAAAACGTGAATGCAACTCCAACCCTATCCCTGCCTGTGTTGGACTCAGGAGAGATGGTGAGAAAAGGAGCAGAGAGGGAGAAAACAACTGACAGAAACAGAAGAACTGGAGAAGGAAGTGGGCCCAGTGAGAAGTGAACACAGAGGTTGAAAAAGCACCAGAGAGGGGAAGAGAAAGAATGTAAAACTATCCACAGTATAGCATGGGTGCATGGGCGGTGGGTATGCTAGGTGGGGGAAGGCATTGCTTTCCCAAATCGCCAGCCTGGCCCAGTCCACATTCGGCCCGTGGGCTGTCTGGAGGCAGAGTTTTGCTGCCCGCAGCACCTGCCCTCTCTGTGCTCCAGGGCGGGGAAGCTGAGACCATGCGAGTTTTGCTGCCCGCAGCACCTGCCCTCTCTGTGCTCTGGGGCGGGGAGACTGAGACCATGCACCCTCCGCTCTCCCCGTGCTTCAGGGCCAGGGAGGCTGGGGCTGTGTGCCCATCCGCCTGCCTTCTTCCCCTCCCCATGGTGTGTGTGTTGGGGGGTGCAGAGAGGCAGTTTGGCTCCCGTGGGGGACAGGGCCTCAGTAGAAGAGGTGGGGCTGGGGGCTGACTTCCCAGAGCCCTAACTTCACCAACCGCCCATGCACAGGTGAGATTTTTCAAAACATTTGGCACTAGCCTAACTCTGCTGCCACTGAAGTCAATGACAGTGAAGTGTCCAAGGAAGTCAGGAGTCACTGGTCTTTAGAGTGGGAACATATTACTCCCTGCTTCTCAGTGGAAAAGCGACCGACGTACACGGTCCCGTCACCGCTTACCTCCTCTGGCTCCTCCTCCCGCTGACGATTTGGTTTGGTGTAGTCAATAGGGCCATCCCATTCATCCTGACGGGAGGTCTGGCTGGACTGGGGTGAGGTCATGGTGCTGCTAGTGGCACTCGTGCTATTTTGGCGTTGGGACACATCGGGGGACTTCACACTGGGACTGCTGCTGCAGCTGCTGCTGCTGGGGAAGGCGCTCTCCCGTTTGCGGTGCTTGTTCATGCTTAAGTCCAGAGTCCCGTTTTCATCCACCTCAATGTCCATAGACTGAAAGACGGGGGACAACATTCTAGGTGAGGGCTGGCAGTCAGTTTCCTAAGTGTCTCGTTTGGTGCACAGAGCCCCCCCGGGGCCTGAAGCAATATGGAGCATGCTACCCTCTTTCCTCAAACTCTGACAGTCAAGGGGATGGAATGGAGCAGAATGGGATTTCCGAAATGTTCCATGGGAATATGTCCCAGCGGTGAATGCAATGTCTGTTTGGAAGGGATGCTTCTCTCAGGCAAGCCTCAGAGAGGTCCTGTGGCACCTTAGCCTGTGTCTAGACTACATGGCTCTGACAACGGAGCCATGTAGATTAGACAGCTAGGCAAAGGCAAATGAAGCCGCGATTTAAATAATCGCGGCTTCATTTACATTTACATGGCTACCGCGCTGATCAGCTGTTTGTCCGCTCAGCGCGCTAGTCTGGACGCTCCCCTGCCGACATCAAAGCC